TCACCCACACACATGCACGCCAAACCAACATCTTTCGTTTGGCAAGCCCATTTGGTACACCCCTCCTTTTATCGAACGTGTTACACAACAATCTAAACTCGCTTCCCCCCCCTCTCACAACTCTAGCAACTCCCCAACGGTGATTGACCTATAACCCTCAGTGAAATCTCCCTCCCATCTTCCATAAATTTCCCGATTCCTATTCATTGTCCTACAAAAACACCTCGCTAAAACTTGTTTCCTCGTCTCCCCATTATCCACCCCTCTCATTCCCCACGATATGTACACGAAATCCACCATTATATAAGCGACACCCCGTGCTACATTCTCCCCCACCCCCCCTATATCAAGACTTAGTGCTCTCAACACCGACACCCCAGTCCCTCTTATCCTCCTGACCACTTTCCCCAGCCATTCCCTCACTCTCCCCAAATAATCGCAAAAGTATACCACGTGATAGGCTGTCTCCAACTCCCCACATAACCCACACCAACCCTTTTCAACGACACGTCTATTTCTGAGGACTGATCCAGTAGGCAGAATCCCGTGTAAAAATTTAAACATGATCTCACGCACCCTGGGCCCTAGCTTTAGTTTACCAAACAGACTCCATATGGCGCCCCATGCATACATCGGGAACAGCCCCTCAATTGGGGCTGTCTCCTCTACCCTCAATATTCGATATAAATCCCTCACCTTTAATTTCTCTGACTCGTACGCCCACAAAATCTCACACTCCCTCCATTCCCCACCTCCATACATTCCCCTCAAAATGTCATGCAACCTTTGCATGTGTGGCCTCCTCTGTCATCCTAGTCTTTTCCACTCCCACCTGATGAAAATGCATTTCACCCTCCTTCCCAGGTCCAACAAACCTAAACCTCCCTTCCTCACCGGCAAAGTCACCACCTCCCTCTTCATCCATTCACATCCTGAGCCCCATAAGAACCTAAAAACACCTCTAAGAATACGAGTAATCTCAGCCCTCATCAATGGAAAAACTGCTGCTACATACCATACCTTACTGTACAGCAATACATTAATAACAATCGCCCGTTGCAATAATGTCAAGTGATAAGGCCGTAACATCCCCAACCGACGTTTCACGCGTTCCACCATTCTCGACGAATTCGCCTCCCTAGCCTCCTGTATGGTCGCCCCATACAAAATGCCACATATTAATAACTGCCCTTCCCGCTTTCTCACCACGTCACAGTCCCAATCAACTCTGTCTTTCCATGCCCCCAGCCCCATGATCTTTGTTTTCTCTACATTTACCGTCATACCTGTCGCCCCTCCAAACATGCGAACCACCTCTCCCAGTTCACTCAATCTTGTTCCCTTCCGGACTAGGAGTGTCGTGTCATCTATGTAACCTACCACATGATGCCTAATCAAGCCCTCCCTCGACCCCGCCCTCCCACACACTTTGGTTTCTACCAACCTATAAAATGGATCTTGCACACATGCAAATAATAACTGTGATAGCGGGCAACCCTGCCTCAAGCCCCTATCCATATTCACCACACTTCCCACACATCCATTGATCTGAATTCTCGCTTTTGCCCCCTTGTACAACGTTTCAACCCACCCCACAATCTCATCCCCAAAACCTTGTTTGCTAAGGATCTGTCTTAAACCCTCCCTTTCCACCTGATCATAAGAACCCTGCCAATCAATCGCTACCATACCCCCTCCTTCCTGCATTCCCTCAAAATTCTCAACAAACCCCTTTAGGATTCTGTGCCCCATTACCATCGACCATCCTGGCAACCCTAGTTGACCTTTTGATACTACTCTTTCCACTACACATTTTAATCTATCCCCCAAAACCTTCGCGAACAATTTGTAGTCTGCACACATGAGAGTAATTGCCCTGTAATCCTTAAGTGTACTCTGCACCTTACCCTTAGGCACAAGCACAACGACCCCTGTACTTTGCTTCTCGCCCAATTCTCCCCCTCTTTCATTCTATTGAACAGCGATACTAAAAAACCCCTTAACTGATTGATGGCAGTCCATCAATACCTGGTGCTTTGCCCCTGCGCATGTCTACAAGCGCCCTCCATATCTCCCCTTCTTCAATATCACCACCCAAAGCTTCCCTGTCCTTTCTCCCCAGAGCTACGGGCTCTACAGCACACACCCCTTCAAGATCCTCCCTATTTACCCCTTTACTTTTCCAATATTGCCCATACGATTCGTCTGCGAACATACTCATCCCCTCCGTTGTTTTTAACACCTGCCCCTCCCTAAAACCTTTCACCTCAGAGTGCACTTCCAAATCCGCTATCGTGGTCGCTGTCCTCTGCTGTTGCCTCCGCAATACACATGCCGATGGTTTGTCCCCCCATAGCACTTCCTCCACTCCCGCCTGCACCCGCACTGCATGAAATCTCTCCTCCTGCTCCTCTCTTAACCTTCTCTTCAGATCATCCATTGCCTCTGTTTGGAATACCCCTCCCACCACTCCTTGCTCATGATAGTATCCTATTCTACTTTCCAAATAATTTGTTAATCCATACTTTAGTTGATTTATACACTTCCCCTCACCCACGTAAAACCTACGAATCCTCTCCTTGGCCACACTGTCCCACCAACGTACAACATTATCAACTCTTTTTGCCTCCTCACTGAGCTTCCTCCACAACAAAGCAACTCCCCCCCCCTCCACTTCCTCATCCTCAAGGAGTCGTGTGTTTAATTTCCAGTAGCTTTCAAACCGTTTCACTAACGAATCCCATGCCACCCCTACCACCACTGCCCTGTGATCTGAATAAATTGCTTCTATGGTATTAAAAGACTCTACTGAAACCCCTTGCGTTATATAGATCCTATCCAGTCTAGCTGCGTAGTCCCTCCTTACATACATATGTTGCACTTCACCTATTCCACCCCAAAATGCATCTCGTACCCCAATATCTCAACACAAATCTCGCAACACGTTTGAGAAATATCCCGCCCCCCCTGGCATCACATCAACTCTCCTTATTATGCAATTCCAATCTCCCCCAATCAATGCAACCCTGGGTAATGCTCTCAAGAAATACAACAGATCATCCCTTACAAATGCCGATTTTACCCTCACATCATTCTCCGCCGGAGCATACACTCCAACAAAAGACACGCATTCACGCATCCACCACCCGTCCACTCTCATTATTCTTCCCTCACTCCCCCCTCAAACCGTTGCAAAACAAATGGGCTTGCCTCACGAATTAAAACACCTACTCTGCCTTTTAAACGTGTCGTTGGCATTACAAAAGCCTTATATCCATTCACCTCCAGCAATTTTCCCACTTTCAAGTTATGTTCTTGTATAAAGGCAACATCTACCTTGTAACGATACAGCAGTCCTCTGAACTATACACACTTACACATAGATGTACACCCAACTACTAAAATTCCTTGTACAACTATGTATCATGTCCAAATATAAATTATTATTATTATTATTACTATGTATGATAACTGTACTTATGTGTACCTGTGCCTAAGTAAACTTACTTAACGGCAGCAACCGCAAGGGCAACCCATCATCGTGGGAGATGATTGATCCAAGTTGAATGATACACTTCAGCTTAGAGAGAACAAGCAGTTTTAAGAGAATTATTATGGGTTTGGCATCCCTAGCTTTGAAGGTTCTCATTATCCATTCTATCAGATGTGATAGATACGTTGTTGTGATCTTTGAGAGTGAGATTCTCTGACATTATCACTCCCAGGTCCTTCACATTAGTTTTTCTCTCTATTGTGTGGTTGGAATTTGCTTTATACTCCAATACAGTTTTAATTTCCTTGAGTTTTCCATAGCAAAGTAGTAATTGAAATTTGTCTTCTCTGAACTTCATATTGTTTTCTGAAGCCATTTAAAGATTGGGTTGATGTCCACTTGGACACTTGCAGTGTCTTCAATGGGTGACACTGCCATGTCTTCCTTTGTGTCATCCACAAAGAAAGACATAGTGCTGTGACTTACATCTCTATGTCAGATCTGAGGATGAGTAACAGGATGGGAGCAAGTAGTGTACCTTATGGAACAGAGCTTCTCTCTGTAGCTGCTTCTGACTTTACTCTGGGAAGGGTAGCTCCAAGGTCATGGGCCAAGCGTCATTAGCCACCATCAAGGCAGAAAACAAAAAAAGATTATACGTATTCCCATTATTTACCCGAAAGTGTTAGTAACACAATAAAGGTAACCAGTGTGACATATTTACATTAAGGTTCTCTGTTTTAAGGAATAACAACAGCCTGGGGTTTTAAATACTGTAATTACTGCTCAAGGGAGGTTTTACATCAATGAGGGGCTCTTGATTCAAGCCCTTCATGTGAGGTTTCTTGATGATGCTATAAGATTCTTGGGCCAAGAAAATGGAGCTAACTTTCTCTTCCTTGGATTGAATTAATTACCTCCCACTCCCCAGGTGCTGTAAGACTCCTAAGGGACCTGACCTCCTCTTCCTTGCATGAAACTTGATGTCTCCCATTTCCTCAGGTGCTGTTTGATCAATACAGTGAATGTAATAAAAACAATGACAATGTGCAGAAAACAGGAAGATAATCACACAAACTTGATATGCCCTTACTCTTCACTAGCTCATAAGAAGTAATAAACTAGTTAACTGCGAGAAGAGAAGGGAAGAATTGTACCTTGATGCAGGTGAAGGGCTTTGATTCAAGGAATTGGTGTAGTGGGGGTTCTAAACTAGTGGGTCTTTTATCTCGTATTGACAGAATAAGACAAAGCCCAGCCTTCTGTACGTTTGCCTCCTATCCTAGTCTGATCTTAACTGACCAGTCTATGCCCCAGCCTGGTGCCTAGCCAGTAAAGGTATGCACTAATGGGAGTACATATTACTGACATTGGAGGTATCCATTGCTTTCTCTTCTCCCCCTGCAGTTTAAGAGCTTCCCCAAATATACAATAATGTAACAATATTATTAATAATATAATTATTGTAATTACTGCATACATTACAGGACAGTAAACAAAGATGATAATGAGAACTAATATTTTTATTTTGTACAATAACAAATCTGTGCATATAATCATATATAAACTTGAAATGAGGTCAGAAAATTCAAAGTTAACAAACAGAACTTTCATATTTTTTACATATGAACCACAATTGTACATAAAAGTTCAATCTTTATTTCAAATGTTAAAGAATGCAGTGTGTCATATGACTTCACAGAAAATACCTGTTGAACAAAAATATGTTAAATACTGCAATGCAGAATTTATAGTAATCAGACAAGATATAAACAGGTTCAGCACAGCATAAAGGATAACAGATACCTGAATAAGACACACACACAACACTTCAAGCATCTTTATTTTTGAAATCTTTCACATACACAGCAGGCAACTGAACTTCTGAAAATCACTGCTTCAACTGTCTACAGTGTATTAGTCACCTCTTCTGCTGACTGAAGCTTGCTGTGCAGGGAAAACATTTCAACAATAAACATACCAAAGTATGCAATAAGATCACAGTAAACAGGTGATTTCAGAATATGCAAAACAACCACTCTGAAAGAATAGAGAAATTCCAAGCGCTTTCGTGACTACTCACATTATCAAGGAACTATGTGAGTAGTCACGAAAGCGCTTGAAATTTCTCTATTCTTTCAGAGTGGTTGTTTTGCATACCAAAGTATGTATTGCATGTGTATCTGATTCATCTACTTTTTGGTATTGCATACCATTAATATAAAAAATAAATACAAGATATCACTTACAATTACTACATGCACTCGATATAAGAAAACAAAAAAATAAAAATCTATTCATGACTACAATGCTGAAATAAAATGTATTTTACATTTATGACTTGAAGACTTATATTATTATACTTAACTCGAGTCAACGTGACACTACAATCAAGACTCCTTCAAGGAGAGGGCTAATGAAGGGTTCTTGATTCAAAGGATTGGAGCTATTATCCCTTTCCTTGGCTCAAACCTGATTACCTCTCATTCAGCAGGTGCTGTCTAATCCTTACAAGTTAAGTGCTCCCCCTTGAATATATTACTATACATTCTAAGATACAAAAGTTGAACATTCATGACTCAGGACCTTAGTCTAGATTCATGATACAGGATCTTAGATCAGTCTAGATTCATGATTCAGGATCTTAGATCAGTCTAGATTCATGATGCAAGATCTTAGTTCAGTCTAGATTTATGACTAAAGAACTTAGTCTGGATTCATGACTCAAAGATCTTAGATCAGTCTGGATTTATGACTCAATATTCCAAATAATATACCTGAAGCTGTATCTGAAACTTAATTTATGTAAGAAAAGCTATTTTCACAGTCTTCGTGGGTTAATTACAGCAAGAGGGCCACTCCCATGACTATTAAATATTTGATGCATCATATTTATAATACACAGGACCATCTTAGGAAATGACTCATTTTCTTGCTTCTCTATGAAGTGATTCTTAAGAATGCATATTATTCATTTTCTAAGATAACTGAAGAATGTAAGTTACAACAGGTCAAATTAATTTCCATTGGCAAGGTAAGGAAAGATAATGTTTTCCATAAGTATATATACGTAATCTATAGTTTTAATGAGTACAGACATACAAGGGAACAATGTCAAAAGACAACTTCTTTTAATAATAAAAGAGTACAATGAAGCTCCCTTCTGGAATGTTTTATAGGAAATTAAGCCACATTCATTTTACATCAACTTATACACACATGCAAAAATGTATACAACTGCTGAGCTCCTTATCCAAATTGTTATATGGAAGACAATACTGGTCCATGTAATTATAATCACATATATCACCACACATATTCACACATTCTCAAAGTCTGTGTGTCTGTTTCATATGCTATGTAAATCGAAATGTATACTGTATGAATATTAATCTATATATTTTTATATAAATCTCTTATTTACATCCACTTGTTTGTGAAAAGAGCTATGAACAAAAAATATGTACTTATAACAATACAATTACACAGTAATTTAAGAGAGCGAGTATTTAATGAACAACTGCCAGAAGGATGCACAGACTCAAGAGTGGCAAGAACTAGATACAGTAAAGTCAGTAATTTAAACAAACATTACTGTCAGAAACATTACTGTATTCAAGATATTATTGCCAGGATGCAGAGGCATAATGATGACAGGTATGGTTATGAAGACAATATGCAGTATGGGCTTTTATTGGGACTATATTGGTACAACACAATGTGACATAAATGGTGTTCTTCATTGGTACAACAAAATGTGACATAAATGGTGTTCTTCATTGGTGCAACACTTCACCTGTGCATTTTAATGCACATGTATCTGTACATTTTGCTCAGGGTTCATGAAACTCAACACTGAAGGAAACAGTCTCAATAAAAGCTTACTCTGCATGTTGTCTTTTTATGCCTATCCATGTTATTGCCCTCTCCCATATAATAAAGTTATCTTGGGAATTTTCCAGGACACATTCCTATCTTGTGCTTCCTAATACATGCCCTTCCATTTGCTACAGATAAAGGAATATGTGACATGTTCTCCTCACTTATATGTAATTGGTTAACATATTACAGCAACTTTTCCTTTCAGCATAAAGTTAGAAATACAGAAAGAAGAAACAATTCAATAATACTTGTGTTCATTCATACATTGGCACATCCACTATCATGTTTTGATGCATTTTATATACCAAAACTATAATACCTATGATTTCAAATGCTTTAAATTAAATTTCCCATCACAACCTGAGCAGAAGTCAGTGTTCGCAAAAATGCATTCACGAAAAATGCATTCCTTGATACAGTCACCCAAAGTAAAATCTTTATCGATTTATAAGCAAAGCACCTAGGCAAACTATCCAGAAAATCATTCCAATAAAATACTTAACTTGAGCTTACTAGAATACTTCCTCATGTAGTACAAGTTTCCCCTCACTTGATCTTTTTTTTTTTTTCTATTATTGTCACCATGTCTGATGCCATTCACTTTCATCAAGACATGCTGGTACTCTTTCATCTGTGCTACCATCTATACACAACTCTTATCATATACCTTTATCCCCTCTATATGATTTTCTCTTGCTTATGGCTACAGTACTATATAAGTACAGTGACACCTCACATATTCAGCCTGCCATTATCCGAACCTCGCCAATATCCGAATAGGCCCTGGGAAAGGGCAAAATTCTAAAATTATTACTGGAACATCCAAACAGCCATTCAGATATAGCAAAAGGCTGACTCAAACTTGGGGTGCACTTTAGTGTACAGGTTGGCCACTAGGACCGTGCTCTTTGCCTTCTTTTTAGGATTATTACAGCTGTGTTTTGTCCAAGGTATCTTGTGTATGACACCAAAGAGGGCCAGGAATGTGCTTACTCTAGAAAAAAATGAGGGAAATATTGTCACATGTGGATGCAGACTGGTGGGAGGCTGGGAAAAATACTACAGAAGACAATGTGCAGGACTGACTAGTGTGGCAAAGATGACCCTGGTGTGCAATCTCTGACGGATGCAGAGACTGCAGAATCAGTGTTGCACCTGGAACATTCCAAACGTGACGATGACAATGACAATGACCCAATGCTTCCAAGACCAAAAACTTCAGTAGCAAGGGTAAGTGTCAAAACACTTTTGGAGTACTGGGAGCATCAACTGTCCACAGTCCATTTGAAAAGTTATGGTCCTGTGGTCCGTGAAATCTGGGAGGCCGTTATTCGAGCCCAGAGTGTGTGGTCCCACCGCCAGATGACGTTGGACTTGTTTTTTAAACCTACAACGCCATCGCTGATAGCGATATGATGGCACAGATGCCCATTTTTCCCCCACACATCCAAAAACTCCATGTTTCCGAATCGGTCTCAGCCCATATAGTTCGGATATGAAAAGTATCACTGTAATTATCTATTTTTGTAACATATGCAAGGAACCTAAGTAGGTACTCTACCACAAACATTAAATTCTATTAAAAACCTGACATTTTAGTACTAATATCACCAGATGAAGAAGTAAAAACATTCTCTACATGGATGGAGACCCCCATCTCTCGGGAAATAGAAAATCAAGAAGTTATAATGCACATTTTCATATCACCATCTTTTGGTACAATTGGAAGTCCAGAGTCAGGCAAGCTCTGTGGCTTAATTAGTCAGAGAGCATATAATATTGTCACCAATAGTTAATAACAACAACTTCATGTTTCTGTATAACTTCATTATTATACATTGTAAAGTAAAAGGTACTATAGTATATACAAACATACTTGGCTAATTGGAGATGCTCTAGAAACTCAGCTATTTTACAACAATGATATTTGATGTACTGGTATCTTCATATTTTTGGTAACTAGCTATTTTAAATTCACAGGAAAAGCCTCAAAAGAAACAAAAAACTTTTACATCTGGTCAGTAGGTTATTATTTTTCTTAAAAATTCTGAAGACCAGATACGATTTGACAATTTTTTAATGATTATTTAAAATTTATTCCTCATTAGTAAACTTTGTTTCCATTTACAAAAGAATTTTTTCCTTGCAATATTATTTAAAAATGACTGTGTAACTGTGGAATAAATTACTGTACTTGCTGGATCTGAGGTTTACTAACAAGATAAAATAATAGACATTAAATGTTGTGTAGCTGATAAGAACAATATAAAATGTGGACAAATGTTAAGATTTTACAAAAATAGCTGCCCAGTCATATGTTTTATATTTGCACTCGTTTTAAGCATTACACAACTTGTTTATATATTTATTCAAAATTTACATAAATAGTCAGATTTATTCTGCATGCATAAACTGGTACATGATCTATTTTAGATTTGCTTAATGTTACCACTAAAACATGATACTGTCACACAAGGTATCTAGTACCAAAAAAAATATAAAGAAGACACATGTGCAACATATGGAGAACCTTCATTTAGATGCACTGCACACCCGAGGTATCTTCAGTCCAACAAAGAGTACTGGACATAATCACAGAATATATAGTTACTTGGAATATACCTGGAGAGGGTTTAGGGGATCAATGCCCCTGCAGCCCAGTCCGTGGCCAGGCCTCATGGTGGATCAGGGCCTGATCAACCAGGCTGTTACTGCTGGCTGCATGTAAACCGACTTACGAACCACAGTTGAATGAAGATCAGGTGTAGTTTAGCTATGGGTCATATAAAGATTAAAGCCCATGCCAGGACACTGTCCTGGCAAATATTATACGCACGTGTAGTTAAGTCGGGTGTAGTACGTATATACAGTATGTCAGGTCACCTGATGGGATAATTCTGTAGAATTAACTTAGTAAGTAAGTTTATTCAGGTATACACAAAGCATCTACATAAAAGTCCCATGTGCACATGTGTCTTCCTTATGATATAAATTTGTCTGATAAAGCACATGTTATGAGAATATTATACTGATTTCCCTGATCTTCTCAAAGCTAACAGTCTTAGGAGCATACTGACAGAATGACTTCAGATGGTTATACCCAGATCCACACCACATTAATTCAACTTTGTCACCCCTTCTCACCCACCATGCATTCCTGTCTCAAGGAATGCACTGGGGTTATTCTCATAAACTCAAAATAAACTTTCTGCAAGGAGCATCACATGTTTCCCTTATAAGCAAAAAGTGTCCTAAATAAAAGTTTCCCATGCACTGCACATGTCTTCTTTATAAATATAAACTAATACTGTTGACATTAAACTGATAGTTGGATATACCACATGTTCAGACTTGTGGACCATTGTTATCTATATGAATAGCTGTCTTGTGGGCTGCTTGCCTCCGTAGATCCTCTCGAATGGAAGCAGTCATGATGGTCCCCACAAATAACACTGCTACCAGAAGCAAATTTGCTGCCATATCACCATAACTGTTGAGGGTATATAGATAAAGGCTGTTGTAAGCTTATGCACTGAATATGGCACATGATGTATACATTTACATGTAGAAATATAAATTATCAGGTCTAAAAAAACCTAATACTGTACTTCAATGGGATGGACAAAAATCCTATATGATGCTTATGCAAGTAAAATTATTTTTGTAGTGGAATCCAACAAAGATTGCCAGTCAACTAGTACAGTGTTTTCAAGGCAGCTACACAATATGCTTTCCTCACTGCTGTCATGAAGATTGCTACCACATTCATTTAATGTCTTGTAATCTTGGACTCTTAAAGTGCATTTGCGAATATAGGAGAGCCCCGTTTTACAATGGTTCGCCCATAATGCTCTGCATACAAGGGGCTTTTGGCATGTACACCCAATCACTATATTTCTTTGTACAACTATATATCATGTCCAAATAAAAATAAAAAAATAAATGGTGTTTTGATAATGCAGCAAGTTTCAATTATACCCATTCTTCATTTATTCAGACTTTCTACAATAAATGTATTCACCACTCACTATAAGCTAAGGATGAAAATATTAAGGTAAGTAATGTGTGTACTGTATATGCATCTTTTTGGCCTAACTGTATTGCTCACTTAATATATGATAGTGTAAACATGTTTTCAAGCTTTTATATGCATTGGAAAGTGAAAAAAAGGCTATGTTTAACTTTATAGCAATTTTTGCTTTACAGCAGTAGCCCAGAACGTAATCTGCTGTGTAAGCGGGGCCCTCCTGTAATTTAGATGTCTGAATTCGTGCATTTTCTTGCCCTTTGCAATGAGTTCTTCTGGTTACACTGCATTTACAGGAAACACAAAAGGGCTGTCTTTTGGTGTCCCTGAGCAAGGTGCAGTTCAGGGCAATGAGCATTATTATAGTACAGCATAATAATTGTATAAATTGCTAACCAATATGCTGTTGAAACCTACCTGTCGAGAAGCTGACCATCTGCCATGGTACAAAATATACCAAAGAACTGGGCTGAGGCATTGAGCAGACCAGAGCTAGTACCCTCGGCTTCAGGGTAAGTCAATTCTGCAGCAAACTCGAAGCCAACTGGCAGATAACCAGTCATGAAGAACCTTAAAATAAGTTTGATTAAATTTCTGTTAAGTGATTTAAAAGAAAATATGAAATACTGAATAGTACTGAATAAATGACAAATTCCTTGTGCCAGTCAAACCAAGCATTGAATTAGATTTCATTACATATTGCACATTAAAATTTAAAAACACTGCTGAAGGTAGAATATGAGTGGAAACTAAAAAAAAAATAGTAACCCTGCACTGCAGATGCCCACAGTTTTTCTTTTACCATATAGTTAGGTGCAGTATTTTTAAAAAATTAAGTTTTTCTCATAAACAATATTTACAGGTAGGAACCTAGGTAGTGACATACCTTATAGTCTTATCATGTAAATTTGATTTACTGATAAAATGGCACAACAGACTACACAACACATGCAGGTGAAGGTACTTATATAATATTTGTAAACAAATATTTTTATGTAGAAATGTATAACTGTTTTTTTTCAGAAATTGGGTAACACAATACATTTTATATAGTATTCATTTTTATAAATAAATAAACATATGAATATAAACACATATTTAAAATATAAGAAAATTTTGTGCAGATATACAGTGTGTCAGTAATAAATGGATGGCCTTTCAAGGAGTAAGGTGCCTTAATGCTAAAGGGTTCTTGATCCAAGAAATTTGAGCTATCCTTGCCTTGGATCAAACCTGATTACCGCACCTGACCAGCCGGGCTGTGGCTCGTACGTTGGTTTGCGTGCAGCCAGCAGTAACAGCCTGGTTGATCAGGCTCTGATCCACCAGGAGGCCTGGTCACAGACTGGGCCGCGGGGGCGTTGACCCCCGGAACTCTCTCCAGGCACCTCCCATTTCCCAGGCACAGTATGATGACTATGAGTTAACTACTACCCTATGACTATAACAATACACAAACACAAATATAGAGAAAAATACAACTAGAACATGACTCTGAGGTTGTTAACTGAAGCAACAATCCAAGATATTGAAAATATAACCTGAAATACAAAATATTTGAAACAACAGAACTCTAGTCATTGCTTTTATTACAGACAATTGTGAAGAGTGTCACTGACCCATATGTTACTTGTGATAAAGATTCCCCTTAACAAACCCTTCAAGAGAGGTTCCTTGACACTAGTGAGGAGCTCTTGATCTAGGGAACTGGATCTGTGCTCCAGTTCCCTGAATTGAGCCTGAATAACTTCCCTCCCCTTCACAGGAACTGTATAATCCCTATGGATTTAGTGCTCTCCCATGATCATAATGCCCTTAACAACATCACTGTCGGCAGGTAATGCCATGCCTCCACAATGACTAAGTTATACAAAAAGACATGAGAGTGAATACCAACCTCTGAGCTGCATTAATAACATTGTAAAAATAAGAAGTGCTAAAAGAAGATATTTCAAATATGAGAACCTTACATTGTTAGGAATATAGAATAAATCCTGCTTTTTTGCAATAATAATAATAACAATAACAATTATATATGTACAATAATGTGTACAGTGTATCTAAATTAGTGACTCACCCTAATAGTCCAGCCATAACGAATACCATCCACAAGGTTTCCAGGTGAAATACGAAGGTGTAGCCAAGCATGAACACCATTGACATGATGTATACCAGAAGTGTCACAAGCCTGATAAAATATGGTTAAAAATTATAATCACATGAGAATATGGTTAGCATATATTTATTGGGATGAATCGAGTTACCAAGACTGCTGTATGACAACATTGTTATCCAAGACTAGTCATCAGATTCATGTGGCATTAATTAGGTGTCCATACTTAAGTGTGCTCTAGAAAAGTTCATCGAGTTCTGCTTAATCATTTCAGCGCTGTATGATCCTAGTGATTGAGTGCTTAGTTTTAATAATAATAATAATAATAATAATAATCTGCTTAATCACTGGTACCCCACTATAAAAAATAAGATACCACAATAATTTGTTCTAAAAATTACTCTTAGAAGGCTATATTGACTCGATTAGGCCTCCAAAATTAAAAAGAAAATACAGGATTAAGAAGTATAATATTAAGAAACAAGAAGATAAAGTGCATAGTGAATATCAATAAATGTAGGATTTGTCATCCTGTATGTTCATGAGGCAGAAACATAAGATCAATATCCCTGTCAGAATGCAAAACATTTAACACGCTTCCATTCCACAAAGATATAACTGTGCAGTAGAACTCTACATCCTTGGTACTTGCTGTCTATCAACCTACAGTATCTATCATTTATTACTGAGGAATTAAACAAGTGTAACATAACAAATTAACACAAAGAGAAAATATTTTGTGCTTAATTACCTAGTCTAATCACTTTATCTAACTTCTATGGGTTATCCTAGGTAATTTACACTGTATGATAATTGTACTATGTGTACCTATCCCTGAAACTAATCTGTTAACGTAATTGTAAAAACTGAAATTTAATTTTTTCTTAGCTGGCAATTAAAATTTTAATTTTAGTGAATAATTTTATGGAAACCGGTTATTTTATATAGCAGGACTTGAGTCCTGGAAATGGGAAGTACAATGCCTGGACTTTAAAGGAGGGGTTTGGGATATTAGCAGTTTGGAGGGATATGTTGTGAATCTTTATATGCATATACTTCTAAACTGTTGTATTCTGAGCACCTCTGCAAAAACAGTGATTATGTGCGAGTGAGGTGAAAGTGTTGAAGGAAAGTATTTTCTTTTTGAAGATTTTCTTTCTTTTTGAGTCACCCTGCCTCGGTGGGAGACGGCAGAGTTTTTTTTTTTTTTTTTTTTTCAACAAGTCGGCCGTCTCCCACCGAGGCAGGGTGACCCAAAAAAAAGAAAGAAAATCCCCAAAAAGAAAATACTTTCATCATCATTCAACACTTTCACCACACTCGCACATTATCACTGTTTTTACAGACTTGTTAAAAAAAAAAAAAAATTATGGTGTATTTTTTGAGCTATCATTTTTACTTCCTTAGAAAACACATCCATGTAACTTTTTTATTATTAAGTAAATTTACTCCTAGTCTAAGTTGCCTGAAATGCTATGCGTACTATGGGCTTTTCAAATGTTATAATTATGCATTTACAATGTTTTAAAAATAATTTTTTTTAATAGATGCAGTATATTTGGCTCAGCTCAGCCCCCTCAATATTATTGCAGATGACTAAATAAGATGCTCACAAAAAGTGGAGAACCGGAAACATCACTGCCTATGAACTAAGTTACATAAGTTTTAGACTGATCTAAAGGTCCATTCCTAAATTACTGTACAAAAATATGTGGAAGAAAGAATAAACAAGATGAACTCCAAAACGTATTTTCATTCTGGGGATACCGCATAATTTCTAAACTTACTTGAACTTAGCAGTCTTATCGAGGACAAAGCCACACACAATAGATCCCAGCATTCCAGCCAAAACTATCAGCAATCCAATTCGCCCAGCATTCTCTGTCTCGCCCTGTAAAAGATTGCATTATTTACTATTAAACTTTTTTAACCATTAAATTTTATTAGAGTATTTTTATTAGCTTTTAATAATTATGCAACATTATTCATCATAACATATTTTATTTGAGTTAATACCATACTTTAACACCGTAATCTTCGAAATTAATTATTCTTCCCATGACCTAAGTTGGTCAATATGAACACATCAGGAATAAAACTTGCACATGTATTTATCCTGAACACCTATAATAATAATATAATAATAATAATAATAATAATAATAATAATAATAATAATAATAATAATAATAATAATACTCCATGGGGAAGTGGAACAGAATTCTTCCTCCATAAGCCATGCGTGTCGTAAGAGGGGACTAAAATGCCGGGAACAAGGGGCTGGTAACCCCTTCTCCTGTATATATTACTAAATGTAAAAGGAGAAACTTTCGTTTTTCCTTTTGGGCCACCCCGCCTCGGTGGGATACGGCCGGTTTGTTGAAATAATAATAATAATAATAATAATAATAGTTTATTTCTTTGTCAAGGTTACAATGTGTAATTACAATTTTGATTTGCTAAGTACAAAGATAGCCACTATCATGCCAAGGCATTTCGGGCAATACATAGTAACTAATTAAAACTAAATAAGATAATAGTACATAGTAACTACTATACTTAAAACTAAACAAGGAATAGTGGTTAGTTGTTTTATAATCTTATTTGATCTTGGTACAAAATCTAACTTACAAGTAATGGTGCAGGTGGTAATATTTTATGGAATGGCAGAATTAGAAGCCAGGAGGTCACATGAAAAGACTAATTAGCAGATGTTATGGCAGATTTGGTTAATATTGAGAAACAAGATGCTTTTACGGATTGGCAGAATTAAGAGCCTAGTGGTCACATAATAGGACTAGTTAGCAGATGTTTGGTTGATTTGGTTAATATTGTGAGATAATTGATTGTTTAGCAAAGTCCTAAATTTATAAGCTGTCAGGGGATCCTTGACCTGTTCCGGTAGCGAGTCCCAGATCTTCGGGCCTTTTATGTGCATAGCGTTCTTGCATGGTGAGAGTCTGACTCGAGGGATGGAAAAGGGCAATATTATATTCTAACCCATTACTGTTCATCTAGCAGGTTCAGGGTAAGGTATATTAATAACTACACAAGTGCTCACTGGGAAGTGTACAAGGACGACCTGGTTGAGCAGCGTGGAGATGGCATAGAAGGCACCCACATTCATCCCGTATGAAAGCAGTAATAAAATATAGCCGGGGTTTTTCATCAACCTGCAACATTAACAACCTGATGATCATAATTATCTTGTGCAGGACATTTCATTCTGATATTGAAGATATGACATTGCTTATATAACTTTCACTGTAAATCAATGATAAAGAAAAGTGCTGTAATGTACAATTACAATATATCACTTCTACAAAATGTCTGGAAATGATGTTCACTTCACAGAGACCCTTTAAAAAGGGTGACTTGGTGCTTGTGAATAGCTCTTGATCCAAGGGAGGGACTGAAGTTACCCCTCTCCTTCCTTGAATCAATCCCAATTTTATTTTCATTCCCAAGAACTGTATGAACCCTACAGGTTATTTTTCATGAATATGTAATAATGCACAAACAGTGCCTGTAGCAAATACATTTTGTTTTTGTCGGTTGTTGTTTACCACCTATCCAGAAGTGACTTTAGTAATCTATGTTTACATGGGCATGACTTCTGCTGGAAAAACAAAAAAATATTCCAGATTTACCTGAGAACACCTTGAAAGTAGGATCCTGCCTCTTCTTGAATGAGAGCAGCTGTGCTTGGAGGAGTAGGGGGTTTCTCTTTGAATACTGTGAAGGATATAATAACACTATAGTTGCAAATATTCCATCAAACAATATACAGCCTCTCCTCACTTAACGACCTTGTGGAACAGAGCTTCTCTCTGTAGCTGCTTCTGACTTTACTGTGTTTACTATTAAATTTAAATCGAGGATGAGAAGGGTAGCTCCAATGCCATGGGCCAAGCGTCATTAGCCACCATCAAGGCAGGGGAAAAAAAAAAGACTATACAGCTTCTCCTTACTTAACAATGGAGCTGTGTTCCTAAGACCTCGTTGGTAAACGATTTGTTGCTAAGCAAGGAACATACTATAATGGTAGTGGGTTTGTGTCAACCATCTTTGATATTTTTTAATGTCACTGTTGCACCATTTATAACATTTTTAGTATAGTATTTTTAAATGTTTATACAGTAGTGTACTGTACATTGTAATAAATAGAATAAAGGAAATCAGCTTTAATATACATTAGTGTATTTAGGTATGCATACTGGTCAGAGAGCCTGTCGTAAGTCCAAGTCGTCAGTAAATAAGTAAGTCGCTAATTAAGGAGAGGCCGTATGTAGCAAGGCTTTAGGTTATATGAACCCTGTTGGTTTAGAGCTTAGTTTTGATTATACAGTGGACCCCCGCATAACGATGGCATCGCATAGCGATTTTTCCGCATAACGATTACTTTTATCGCAAAATTTTTGCCCCGCATACCGATTAAAAACCCGCATACCGATTTTCGTCCGAGACGCGTCCAATGTGCCCTCACATGTGCCGGCCGTCCCATTGTTTACCAGCCAGCCTCCGCGGTAACATCCAAGCATACACTCGGAATATTTCGTATTATTACAGTGTTTTCGGTGGTGTTTCTGGAAAATAAGTGACCATGGGCCCCAAGAAAGCTTCTAGTGCCAACCCTGTGGTAAAAAGGGTGAGAATTAGTATGGAAATTAAGAAAGATTTTGAAGGGTTTGGGGCTAACCCTGAGAAGCCTATGCCAGTTGTGGAATCCATTGTGCCTACTTCAAAGATTAAGGAAATGTGTGCAGAGTGGTTTGAACTGCAAACCTTTATAGATGAAAATCACCCTGACACAGCTGTTGCAAGCCGTGCTGGTGACTATTTCAATGACAATGTTATGGCCCATTTTAGGAAAGTCTTGAAGAAACGGGAGGTACAGAGCTCTATGGACAGATTTGTTGTGCGACAGAGGTCCAGTGACTCTGAAGCTGGTCCTAGTGGCATTAAAAGAAGAAGGGAAGTAACCCCAGAAAAGGACTTGCTACCTCAAGTCCTAATGGAAGGGGATTCCCCTTCTAAACAGTAAGAAGATAATGCTCTCCCCTCCTCCCATCCCATCAATCATCACCAGATCTTCAATAAAAGTAAGTGTCATGTAATTGTGCATGCCTTTTTCAGTTTGTGTGTATTAAAATTAACATTTCATGTGGTAAAAAAAATTTTTTTTCATACTTTTGGGCGTCTTGCACGGATTAATTTTATTTCCATTATTTCTTATGGGGAAAATTAATTCGCATAACGATTATTTCGCATAACGATGAGCCCTCTTGCACGGATTAAAATCGTTAACCGGGGGTCCACTGTAATAATTTAGGGTACATATATGAAAATTTGTTATAGAAAAAATAATAAATAAAAAAAGCTTCTCTGAGCGTGTTTGATAGGAGTGAATGGAGACAAATGGTTTTTAATACTTGACGTGCTGTTGGAGTGTGAGCAAAGTAACATTTATGAAGGGATTCAGGGAAACCGGCAGGCCGGACTTGAGTCCTGGAGATGGGAAGTACAGTGCCTGCACTCTGAAGGAGGGGTGTTAATGTTGCAGTTTAAAAACTGTAGTGTAAAGCACCCTTCTGGCAAGACAGTGATGGAGTGAATGATGGTGAAAGTTTTTATTTTTCGGGCCACCCTGCCTTGGTGGGAATCGGCCAGTGTGATAATAATAATAAAAAGGAGCTGTGTGACAAATAAGAGTTCAGTCCTTAACATGATTAATTTATAATAGTGATATGTTGAAATACTGGAAGAAAATGGGGCTTTTAACAATGAGGAAAATCAGTGTCACATATTGGGTGTTGTCATTGGTATAAAGCAGCTGCCTGTGGAGTTCCATCTTCTATACTAAATTTGTTGTAAAAGATTTTAAGAGAAAGGTTATGGCATGTCATGATGGCATGTCATGATGACACGTCATGATGACATGTTATGCTGCCACCTCCTATAGTGACATAAAATGGAGCCATCATCAATTTTTTGAACAAAATTGCAACACATTAAAAAGTATGAGGTATCCTCGAAGGGATACCTTATAGTGGCTGCCTGAATTTTCTGTTATTACTCCAAAGTTTTCACTTATAACTTAGAAATGTTTCATGCAATTGACCTCAAATTTTCAATGCCGATGGACTGTAAATAGGGGAAAAGTTCAACCACCTTAAAATCAGCAGTACACTAGTCTTTATGTTATATTCCCGAGAATTATGGAAATACGAGTCAGTGAGGTCTCCACATTTGTGTAATACTTCAGAGTGAAAGGAGGGCACGAGTGCAGACCCACATGTCTGTTAGTCCTCTATGAATGTAAACACTTCAAAGGCCATATTTATGTTATATTTTCCAACACCTGGCTTTGGTTTCCAAGCAGTGGCTTGAAGCTTTGAAGCCTTTGACTTCAAACGTTCAATATTAATAATGCGAGAATGGAACTTTTTGAGTGGCTTCACACTTAAGAGTGCTTGTGTATTTTGCAATATTGGTATCTGTGAGATAACTAGAGAGTGCCTCTTCTGACTGGCTTCAAATTTCAAAGCTGGTGTATATTATTTAGTGAAAGATTTGAATTATTTTTGGGCTGTGTAGGTGTCAATTTGCCATTTTCATTGAAGAAATTTGTATATTAGCTTTTATGCAATAAATGCTTCTTCTGACTGGCATTCAGTGCTGATACTTAACTGAATTAAGAAACTTATGCCCACTCTGTGCTATTCTTTTTCTTTTTGTGCATTGATCAGTATCTCTGTATGGAATATGGAGATACTGTGTACCTTGTACATGTACTTGTAGAAATAAAAATTATTATTACTATTACTATTATCTTTCTTGGGTAGTGCATCAACAGAAGTATATTTAGTTATATTTGCAGGGAAGAGATTAACTAGAGAATGGGAGATAAAGTTTGATTCATGAAAGAGGGAAAGAAGCTATAATACCTGATATCAAGAGCCCCTCAGCAGCACCATAAAATACAAATATGTAACATTAAAAGGCAAGTCATTGCTGTTCATTATTATATTCATGGAAAGAGGTAATAGCAAATGTTTGTATGAATGATGTTTACCACACGAAGGAATATATAAATACAAGGATAAAACCTGCTCTTATACTTTACGAAATTTGTTCTTCTATGTGCAGAGATTACATCAGTTTTTGTGACTGGTATAATATAGAGGTGGGGGGGGGGGTGAGTCAGGTGTTGCAATGAGAGTAGGAAGATGTCCAGAGTAAGAGAGTTAACGTGATGGATGTGAGGGAATTAACATGATGGATGTTACCGTGAGAGTTAACAACCCGGATGCTGGGGTGATGAGGCAGGCATTATGCGGTGCCCTGTGATCTTACTCTGGGTGGGAGCTCTGTACTAGCTGATTTATGTTTGTGGGGGGTCGATCCATGTTTTCTTACAGTGGGAGCTCTGTACTAGCTGATTTATATTTGTGGGGGGTCGATCCATGTTATCTTACAGTAGGAGCTCTGTACTAGCTGATTTATGTTTGTGGGGGGTCGATCCATGTTATCTTGCAGTGGGAGCTCTGTACTAGCTGATTTATGTTTGTGGGGGGTCGATCCATGTTATCTTACAGTGGGAACTCTGTACTAGCTGATTTATGTTTGTGGGGGGTCGATCCATGTTTTCTTACAGTGGGAGCTCTGTACTAGCTGAGTTATATTTGTGGGGGGTCGATCCATGTTATCTTACAGTAGGAGCTCTGTACTAGCTGATTTATGTTTGTGGGGGGTCGATCCATGTTATCTTACAGTGGGAGCTCTGTACTAGCTGATTTATGTTTGTGGGGGGTCGATCCATGTTTTCTTACAGTGGGAGCTCTGTACTAACTGATTTATATTTGTGGGGGGTCGATCCATGTTATCTTACAGTAGGAGCTCTGTACTAGCTGATTTATGTTTGTGGGGGTCGATCCATGTTATCTTACAGTGGGAGCTCTGTACTAGCTGATTTATGTTTGTGGGGGGTCGATCCATGTTTTCTTACAGTGGGAGCTCTGTACTAACTGATTTATATTTGTGGGGGGTCGATCCATGTTATCTTACAGTAGGAGCTCTGTACTAGCTGATTTATGTTTGTGGGGGGTCGATCCATGTTATCTTGCAGTGGGAGCTCTGTACTAGCTGATCTATGTTTGTGGGGGGTCGATCCATGTTATCTTACAGTGGGAGCTCTGTACTAGCTGATTTATGTTTGTGGGGGGTCGATCCATGTTATCTTACAGTGGGAGCTCTGTACTAGCTGATTTATGTTTGTGGGGGGTCGATCCATGTTATCTTGCAGTGGGAGCTCTGTACTAGCTGATTTATGTTTGTGGGGGGTCGATCCATGTTATCTTACAGTGGGAGCTCTGTACTAGCTGATTTATGTTTGTGGGGGGTCGATCCGTGTTATCTTACAGTGGGAGCTCTGTACTAGCTGATTTATGTTTGTGGTGGAAGTAGAGTCCATACTCCTGGCCCCCACCTCTTTAATTATTTTTAATTTATTTATGGAAAAGCGCCGAACTTGTGAGGATCATACAACGCCTGGGATATAAAAGACACTTTGGTTTGATCTGAAAAATTAAATTCAATTCAAAGTTTATTCTCTATAAGGATTACAATGCTGAGTTTACAGAATTTGGTTCTAATTCACTGGGTCAAGAGGCTTTCACCAGCATCAAGGCACCTTTCTTGAAGGGACTCTGCTCTTAAGCTACTTTCAACGTTTT